CCCCCCCTCCACCCCCCCCCTCGTCTCAAACTCAGTCCCCCCAGGCGAGCAGCAGCAGCAGCAGCAGCAGCCGTGGGACCAGCAGCAGTGGGAGCAGCCATCACCACAGCAACCACTACCACGGGCTGCACCACCACCACCCAGTCTCGGGCACCAGTGTGCCTTCCACCAGTGGAGGAAGTGGAAGCAGCAGTAGCAACCAGCAGCAGTCTCTAAACACCGGAGGATCCCACTCCCATCATGCATCACAACACCCCCATCACCATCATCACCTTTCACAACCTCTGCTGCAGACCTCCGTCAGTGCCCACAACATCCGCAGCTGGGGCGAGAGCAGTAAAGGGGAGGGGGAGTGCAGTGGCCTGGCCTGTGACTCCTGCAGCAGCGTCCCCTCACGGAGCCAGGGCTCTCTGGACCTGGAGAGTGCGCCGCGGGAGGCAGGCAAGCATCACAGACGCCTAGAGCGGATGTGGAGTGTGGACCGGGTGACTGGGCTGGAGAGAGGTGAGAAGGTGGAGGACACAGAGGAAGGGAGAGGCGCTGAATTCCAAAGAAGGGTGGGGTGAGGGTAAACAGATCTGGTAATGTGGCTCCGTGGCAGCGACTGGTGGGATTTGGGATCAGGCCAGAGATGAAATAGCATTTGAATGTCATCTTTTTTAAAAGAAAAAGGTCTGGACCATTTCTCCTGTTAAACACTTGGAAAAAAAACTCCAAATGCTGTCGTTCAAAGTCACTGGATCCAATCAGCTGGAAAATAGTCAAAAAAAAGCCAGATTGCAACAAGTTGAACCTTTCAACCATTAAATTGCTCAAAAATGATACAAATGCAATGAAACATGAAGACAGTCACAGACCTCTGTTTTCCTCAACTACTCTTAGTAAGGTCTACTACTGTTTTCCTCAACTGCTCTCAGTAAGGTCCAACTACATCTGTCAGACAAAGCTAAAAAGTGTCATATTATGTTGCACAGCATTTGCATTAGTATTTTGAGCAAATTAAAAACACAGCATAAAATGCTTTCCACTTTTTTTTAGAGGTAAAAAACTTTCATCTGGGACGAAAACTTTCCTACTGATTGTAATCAATGACCTAAACCAAGAACATTACCGGTTGGAAATGGTTACATTGCTGCATTAAATATAATCACTCACAAGCTCTACTTTTGGAGACGTTCTCATGAGCTCATTTACAAGACACAACTCACGTTAAGTAAAAAACATTGGTTAAGCCAGTGGTTCTCAAAGTAGGGGGTATGTGGGTGCTGAGCTATTGCTGTCAGGGACCTGGCAAGGATGAAGCCCAGTTAGCACAGATCATTGTTGTTGTACTCATATCTGATTTTTCATGAGAGTCTGAAATACACAGTTTTTTTTTTCTCAAACACAGCCTTTTCTTTATAAGTGGCTAAGTCTGAAAGGTCAGGTGGTATTAGGTTAGAGTGAGACGGACGTCAGTTTTGCACCCGGGGGAGGCAGAACGCTCAAGATGGAATGTAAACAATAAACAAAACAATCAGACACTCTGGATGAAACCACCCAGAGGGAATGTCACAGTCGTGTCTGCTCCATGAACCCAGGCGTTGACAGGAAACCTTAGCACAACAATTTTTTTAATTTAAATTTCCTTTTGCAAACAAACTTCAAATATCATTTCTTTAACACATTCAGGGCAGCAGGCTAGTCTACTGAAGTCTGGTTGAGAGACTTTTTAAAATATGAATGAACGACTATGCAGACAGACACAGAAGCTTCAGATCAGTGATGTCAAACTCTATCATATAAGCTGTTGAGATTTAAAACGCGTCAAATCCAAGTTTTAGGCCAAACAGGGTTTAGGTTATCGGACAGTATTGAATCAACGTAGTTTGTGTTTTGGGAGTAGTAGTATTTAACGACAACCATACACATTAAAAGCTCCAAAATGATGTGGCGGTCCACATTTGGCCCACTGGCCTTGAGTTTGACATATGAGCCTTAGCGGTTGACTAAAGGAGTGTCAGTCCAAGAGCTGCCAACCCAGTGTGGAAATTGTGCCGATTTATAATTATATTTTTTTTCTTCTGTTCAAATAGAGTATATATAGTTTTTGGACTTGGAGTGCAGACTCCTGCAGACAGAAGTTTGGGAACCACTGGTTTTAGCCAAAGTGTAGTAACTTCCAAATTTAAATCAAAGATTTGGACAAGACTAAAGTGAAACACAGTCTAGAGTTAACCCTGCTGGAGGTTAATTCAGCCAAACAAACACACTTCATATCAAATCTATATCTTCTCCGGGTCTGTTTGGGGAAAATGAGTATTTGATGTTAGATGTGACGTGGTGGTCTGTAGCTCTGAATCTCCGTCTCCCCGTCTCTCTCCCCTGCTGCTGTCTCTTCCTGTGTGTCTCCCTCTCTCCGTTTGTGGAGTGGTGGACTGTGAAGTGCTGCTTTCCAGTTTCATGCTCTCCTACGTCTGATTACACGACATCTGCCAAAAGTCCCAGATTTGTCTTCATTTTTTCCCGCTTAACTTGTCCTCGTCATTTTTCTCTCTGATTGCAGAGGAGACCAACTGGTTCCCCAAGGAAAATATGTTCTCCTTTCAAACTGCCACCACCACCATGCAGGCGTGAGTAGTGCCCCATCCTAACACACACACACCATCACGTTTTTAAAAAAGTGTGTCCAGTGTGTTGGCATCTATGGTCCATTAAAAAAGTGTGTCCAGTGTGTTGGCAGAGTCCGTGTTCCACTGGTCCACATCTATGATTCTGATGCATGTTTTAGATCATTAACTGCAAGTTGATAACTTCACGCCAGTACCAGGAATCTTCCAGGGCTTTTTAGATCGATCAACACCCCTAGGGTTTTCATTGATTTTCAGTTCACAAAGCTATAAAGAGTCAGCTGGGAAGACCTTTGAGGTGTGTTCAAAGAGGTCGCTCCATCATGTGCTAGTTCTTTTCCAGTTCAGCTACAGTTTAGTAACTTTCACTGTCTTCTACTTAAAAAAGGCAGAACATTGAATAGTCTGTTAAAACTGCCTGCAGTGATTACAGAAAAGGCAACACAGCCAGGTAGGTCTAGAGTCTGACGCTAGTATTAGGCGGTCACTTTGACGTCTGACATCATATCCTGTCGGTTCTTTCTCAAAATCAAAATTTTATAACCAACCCCTTAGGTTGGAAATTTAATCTTTTGCCACTTTGGTTTGAATAATTTCATCGTCAATTTTTAACAAACGTTTAAGCTAACCTTTTGAATTATCCGTATCTGCGTTAAGATCTTTTTTATTATTATTATTTGGAAATGTTTCTGTTTAACTTTTAGGTATTTCACTACATCTTTTACTGCTTTGGACTGACAGTTTTAGCCATTGTGCTTTAAAATGTGAATTTGTTGTCCCTATTGTTATGTGTATTTATATAATGTATCTAAGTTGGCTAGCCATTAGCTAATTTGTGCTTATTTTGAGTTGAAAACATTTTACTCATTAAAAGATTTTGTTATATATTTCTTAAACTTTTTTAGCTAGCTTAGCATTTTCCCTGATGTTTCACTTTTGATGTTTTTAGCCGAGTTTTAGCTAGCATTGCTATTTGTTCATGGTTTAATAGACGTTAAATACCATTTTGGATAGCTGGAATTTCTTTTTCACAACAGGCTGTTTTTTGCTAATATTATAGCCAAATTTAAACTCTTAAATCATTTCTAAGCTAACTTCCAGTTACAATTTAAGTACTAAACCTTAAAAACATTTATTATCTGCTGAATACACAGGCAAAAAATAACACAATATCATTTTGTCTTACAGTTAGAAGCCTTTCTGTTGATATAAGTAGCTACTTCTGAGCTAAACGGTATTTCCCCACCTTTAAAAAAAATAAAAACAAATAAGAGAAAAGCGAACGAGCATGAGCAGAAATATGAAAGTTTGATTTGTATAAATGGTGCCTGTGAGAAAGTTTGAATTTGATTGTGGGCTGTTATTTTGTCTTTGAATATCCTGCAGCTGTGGAGGAAATAAAAACTGTCCAAATGGCTTCAGTCCAATTTCCAACAATCTGCTCCTGCCTGACTTTGGGTTTTTACCGCTTTCTATGCAAATGTTGCCCTCATGTTGATTTCAGGGGATAGAGTCAGAGTCAGTGTTTCCGTCTGTTACCTACTCTCTGTTTCCTAAACTGTTTTCTTTCTACTCTCTTCTTTCCTCTTGCTTTCTAAATTCTCTCGGGAACAGGATTTCGTGAGTATTCTTCCTGCTTTTGTGTCTGTCACGTGTCCTTTTGTCCCAGTCAGCATGTCCATGTGGGTTCAACATTTACTTAGGGAACGATGGGGGCTCAAAACCTTTGAACTGTTGACTAATCTGGTCACATGAACCCTATTGGAGACTGATATTGACAGATTAACGTAAATAAAACTGAATTAAGTTGGTGAACAATCATAGAATATGGTCGGGCAAAATGTTCTAAGACAGGTGTTGTAATTTCCAAAGATAAAAGGACTTTTATTGACAGGAGTCTATAGCACCACCAACAGCTCAATTCACACATGACATCTTTGTAGAGACATTAGACTTGTACCTACCAGCAGGTGGTAACCTGGTGCAGAGGGGAAAAAAATCTTAAATCAAAACATCTAAATTTAGTTAAAAGCATTTAAATTTAATTAAATGGCTTAGGGGTTCATATTGTCTAAGAACTTCTTGACTTACCCTTGCCTTATGTTTATAAGTAACACTCTATATGATCTCTTTAATTCCTGTGGTTTCTGAGTTATGTAGTGACTGTGTCTAAATTCCAAATAAGAATGTGCCCAAAACAGAGTTTAATGAAGCGCAAATACATTTCATGACATATTTTTGGTTCACACCTTCCATTGCTTAACAAGAGTGAACTAAGAGAAGTGATGCAGTTTACACCTTTTTATGTTGTCACAAATGTAAAAAACTGATTAAAAAGAGAAAACGCAGTTAAAGGAAGTTCTACATATAATTAAAACTTTGGCTGAGCTCTCTGCTAATCAGCAGCACGAAGCTACTGTTGCTGAATTCAAATCATATTTAAAAGTTGTATGAATCACGTGTGTGTGTGTGTCCGTCTTTGTGTGAGCATAACATTTCTTGGTATTAGCCAGCTCGTCCACATTGTATTTTAAATGTTAAGCCTCACTGAAAAGGTGTCACAAGATCAAGAAACTTTTTAGCCATCGCTGAACAGAGAAGAAGATTTCACTGGCAATTCAATTTGTTTTTAGCTACTCTGCCCAACAACAAAAGTCACTCCTTTCACAGGCATGTAAACCCTTGTAGCTAAGTGTAATCCCAATGAGTTTAGAGTCAGAGATGTAGGGATTTCACCAGCTGTTATCTAAAGAGAGTTCTCCAAACTTTTGTCAGCAGGCATCGCCAAAGCCTAAGAGTCCACTTCAGTGTCTGATAAAAGCCTTAAATTGTTCATTATAACAGTGATCAACTTGCTAATCAGGTGGTTTTCATTTGATCATTTTAAGTTATGTATCATTCAATTCATACAAAACGGTGTTATTCTTCTGATTACTAAGACTCTGAAAATACTACCGTTATCATGTAGAGTTCAAGGTGTTGTTAGCACAGAACTGGCCAAGAGAGTTACCGTAAACATGGCCAAAACTGAACAAAAAAAGTTAAAAGCATTTTAAAAAATTGCTTGAAGTTAGCCCGAATCACTAAATGATAACTTTATGTTAGGCTAGAATCTGTTCTCAGGCCAGTTAGCTTTTATATAACAAAATGTGTGAAGTGTTAGCTGAAATGAAACAGCAAAATGATTTGAGTTAAACATACAGGAAGACCAGAAAAAATATGCAATTTTTAAAAAAATAATTAAAAGTTAGAACAGAAATAGAAATAAAGCAGAAAGTGCTAACTGTTGACATATAGAACTTTTGTTACAAAAAAATGTCACTGTTAGCCCCTGGGCTGGAGTTTGGACAATACCACATTGGTATAATCTACATAATGGAATCCAGTCAAATTTGTTCTGCCAGAACGGCAAAAAACACTTCGGGGAAGAATCAACGATAAATTACAGAGTTTTTAAAAAGTTTGGAAAGTCAGTTAAAATCACATTCAGCAAAAAAAAAGTGAGTGTAAAGTCAGAGTGAGACTGTGTGGAGCTGTGACATCAGTAACAGGTTCAGGGACCGTCCCACTCACAGCCACATGTCCCGACACACTCGGCGGCAGATGGTGAACGCGACACGAGGCGGTACATTTCATTTCCTCCAACATGTCAGTGTCATCCATCTGACGTGTCAACTCCATCAACGTCCAGTTTGTTCAACAGTACATTAATGCGGCCACAAAAATGTCAGAACAAACTTTTGTCGGAACAGTATTGATCAACTTCTTATCATGGAAATCTGAGTATGTGCTCACTCCAGAGTACTGATTTAAAAAAATAAAATCCTGGGGAGACAGACATGGCAGGAGTCTCAACGACTAACAGGGGAACCAGGTGTGACCAGTGAGACCAACCAACAAGACGAGCAAAACACTGGACACCAAAGACGGACAGCCTCTGAGTCACATTACTGCCCCCTGTGGTCTATTTTACAGTTGTTAACATCTAAATTTTGGTCACTAGCAATAGACTATGGGCAACGCCCCAGCAGTTGAATACACCACAAAAACTGTGTGGTGAAAAAATCCTGCATTTTAAAAAATCATCAAACTGCAGATGGAACATGAGTAGGACGTAGTCACCGTGGCACCAATTAGACTAACGAGAAAGCAAACTAAAGATGTTGATATTTTTCAGTTACTGAAATAGTCTGAGGAGGAGGGAGAGGTTACTCCAAGTTATCTCTTCCATATTTCCTTCCTCAGTGTCTAAATGAGTATTATTTTCTGAAAGCACAGAACACTCAATAATTTGTTGTTATTTAAGAAAAATGTAAGTACAAATTAATATTAGTACCGCTCAGTAAGTTGTCATTGTGTCTCACATTTATCATCTACTGTAATTAAGTCACATCACTGCAGTCACTGGACATGGAAAAGAGAATATTTATTCTGACCTGAGGGATTTTTTTTCACCTAACTTTCATCTCTGACCAGGAGTTGCCTTTCCTTTATCTTTGTCATTTATTTAAACTTTATTTATATATACTGAATGTTTTTGGCAGTTTTAGCTATTGACAGCAAACATTTATAATTGATAATTGGGCTAGGGCTAACTGTTAGAGCTGGGTGGGTGGGTGGGTGGATGGATGGATGGATGGATGGATAGATGGATGGATGGATGGATGGATGGGTGGATGGATGGATGGATAGATGGGTGAATGGATGGATGGATAGATGGATGGATGGATAGATGGATAGATGGATGGATGGATAGATGGATAGATGGATGGATGGATGGATGGATGGATAGATGGGTGAATGGATGGATGATAGATGCATAGATGGATAGATAGATAGATAGAAAATACAAAGAAGCAATAGGAGGGTTTTTTTTTACGGTGAAATCCATGATCTGACAACTTCAAGGGCCTTGAACTCTCATTAATTCCAACCCCTCCAAAGACTAAAGCCTTTTTATGTTTTTTCTATTTTTACTATGCTCTTGTTTTCTTCTGGCCAATAAACACAGCTACACTTCTAACACGAAGATCATTAATCACGAGCACTGACTTTTGTTTTGTGCAACAGGGCTGTGTAGCGGGACATGAGAAGGAGGCAGAAAGATGAAAAAAATGTGGGAGTCTGCATAGAACATCCTGTCAGGGTTTAGGCTGCAGGTCACAGGGAACAAACTGAAATAATACAAAATCCTATTTGACAGTAGGGGGAGTGAAGATGAAACGTGATGATGAGACATTGAGTCTGATTATTATTTATTTAGACTGTTTATGAAACATTTAAACATCTTTTTCCAAGATAAAATAGGAGACAGAATATCTTTACTCATTTTTACTTCGTGATTTGACATGATTTGTCTTTTGCGTTGTGCAGGCCAATAAAAACTGTTACCAAAACTGTAATTTACCACTTACAAAGAGACACATTAATTCTAGTTTTCCTTATTACTTATTCCTTATGTAAATAAGGGTTTTTTCATTTATACACATTAAGAAGTGTTTACTTTTTATTAAACACACTCTGAGTGGAGTGTCACTATTTATTCTAAATGAAACAATGCTTTTAGAGCAACAATTCACAATTCAGTCAGGATTTTCTGCCAAAAGAAAGAAAGAAAGGTAAGAAGGAAGGAAGGAAGCAAGGAAGCAAGGAAGCAAGGAAAGAAGGAAAGAAGGAGAGAAGGAAAGAAGGAAAGAAGGAAGGAAGCAAGGAAGCAAGGAAAGAAGGAAAGAAGGAGAGAAGGAAAGAAGGAAAGAAGGAAGGAAGCAAGGAAGCAAGGAAAGAAGGAAAGAAGGAGAGAAGGAAAGAAGGAAAGAAGGAAGGAAGCAAGGAAGCAAGGAAAGAAGGAAAGAAAGAAAGGAAGGAAGGAAAGAGGGAGAGGGAGGAAGGAAGGAAGGAAGGAAGGAAGGAAGGAAGGAAGGAAAGGTATTCACTGCCCCTTAACCACTACTACTACTGTACAACTAACTACTACTACTAACAACTACTAATTACTACTTAAACGTAAAAGTTAAACTAGGTGAAGTCATTCACATCATTTAAAACGGTTTGCGTCTGTTAAAAGGCTTCGTTATTCATTTCAAATGATTTCACTTTTTAATCCAAAAAATATCAGTGTATTTTCAGATTTTTCAATCATGATTAATCATGATCACAATTAATATTTTCTTTATATTGCTGGAACAGAAAAACAAATAAGAACATGTGGATGTCTGTGTTTCACACCTATATATTCTGTAATGTAAAGGGTAGACAAATATACATGCATTTTATACATGACATATATTAATATTCTATATATACATATGTGTATATATGTATACATATGTTTATAGATATTTATGCATTATGCCAATACAAGCAGCATTGCTGCTTGTATTGGCCTGTGTGGGTACAACACCTCTAAACTGCCATCTACACAACGTAAACTCTTTTAGAAAATATTTCCCTTGCCTTGAGTTTACCTCAGATGCAGCTTTGCTCCAGGCCCACATACTGTGCTCCTTATGCATCTGTACTGAACACAGTTCTAGGGTTTCCCTTCAGTTGTTCCCACATGACTCATGACTCTACACAGAAACACAGAGGCAGAAGACACCTCTGCTGATGCACATTCCGCCTCCACACCCCTGCTCTCCTCCACCAGTATTTTCCCCTCACACTGACACAGAAATGTGTATATTTACCTGTAATTATCTGTTTTAGTGAAAAGGAGCCTGACACTGAACTGCTTCTCTTTTCTTTCCTTTTTTCGCTCTCTTTATGTCCCGCCCACCTACTCTGCTATTTCTTCCGTCACTTCTTTACATTGCTGCTTCTTCCTCTGCTTTGATTGCTCTTACCCACAGGAACTTCCGGAAGCATCTACGGATGGTGGGCAGCAGAAGGATGAAAGCACAGAGTGAGTCAGATAGATGTGTGTGTGTGTGTGTGTGTGTGTGT